ACTTGTTATATGAATCCGGCATCATGCTGGTATCAAAATCAGCTAAGCATATTATAAGAAAAGAAAATTATAGCTCAATATCCCTCATATATGTAGATGCAAAAATCCCTAACAAGATATTAGCAAATCACATCCAGTCATACATAAAAAGGATACTGCTTTAACCAATGAGTGTATGCCAGTTAGATTTAAACATTCAAAAATCTTCCAATATAATTTACATTTTCAGAATAAAGGAGAAAAATCATATGACCATCTCAATTAATTCCAAAAAAATCAACAAAATTCAACATTTGATTTAGAACTCCCCAGAAACTAAAAATATAAAGAAATTTTGTCTGACAAAGAATATCTGAAAAATCTATAGCAAATGTACTTAACAATGAATCATTGGACATTTTTTCTTATGATATAGAAAAGGGCACATATGTCTACGCTCATCTTCTATTCAGCATTGTTAGGGAAGTCCTAGCCAGTGTAATAAGGCCAGAAAAATGAATAAAAGGCCTATTGTTGTAATGGAAGAAGTAAAACTATTTTTATTTGCAGATGATATAAGAGCGTACATAGAAAAACCTATGGAATTTACAAAAAGCACTATTAAACTTAATTAGTGAAGTCAACAATGTTACAGGACACAGAGTCAGTACATAAAAATCAATTATATTTCTATATACTAGCAAATTTTTAAAAATTTGAAATTAAAAATAAAATTAACAATAACATTAAAAAAATAAAACACAGGAAAAATTTAACAAAATATATATAAAATATGAGAACTACAAAACATTACTGAGAGAAACTAAAGAAGTCCTAAATAAATACAGAGATAGATCACGTTTATGGACTGCAGATTCCATATGTCCATTCTCTTAAAACTGATTTGTAAATTGAAAGATCACTATCAAAGTCTCAGCAGCCTTTTTTGGAAGAAATTGACAAGTTTATTCTAAAATTTAAAGATTTTACTTATTTTATTAGAGAGAGAGCGTGAGCGCACACAAGCAGGGGAAGGGCAGACAGAGAGGGAAAAGCAGACTGCCTACTGAGGAGGGGGCTCAACCCCAGGACCCTGGGATCATGACCTGAGCCCAAGGCAGATACTTAACCGCTTAAATGACTGAACCACCCAGGCATACCAGTTTATTCTAAAATTTATATCAAAATATAATGGCAATAAAAAAGCTTTTACACAGTGAAGGAAACCATCAACAAGAAAAAGCAGCCTACTGAATGGGAGAAGTTATTCGCAAATGACATATCTGATAAAGGATTAATAACCAAAACATACAAAGAGCTTATACAACCCAACACCAAAGAAACAAATAATCCAATTAAAATGGTCAGAGGACATGAATAGATATTTTTCCAAAGATGATATACAAATGGCCAACAGACACATGAACCACATGCTCAATATCACTAATCATCAGGGAAATGCAAATCGAAACCACAATAATGTATCACCTCATACCTGTCAGAATGGCTATAATAAAAAAGATAATAACAAGTGTTGACGAGGATGTGGAGAAAAAGGAACCCTCATGCACTGTTGGTGCAGCCACTGTGGAAAACCGTATGGTGGTACCTCAAAAAATTATAGTTGAATTACTATATGATCCAGTAATTCCACTACTGGGTATTTACCCAAAGAAAAACAAAACACTAATTTGAAAAGATATAGCCTTCCCCATGTGTTTTACACCATTATTTACAATAGCCAAGATAGAGAAGCAACCCAAGTGTCCATTGGTGGATGAACAGATAATGATGTGGTATATATATTGCTCAGCCATAAAAATGCGATCTTTCCATTTGCAACAACATGGGTGGACCTAGAAGGTATAATGCTAAGTGAAATAAGTCAAACAGAGAAAACAAATACCAGATGATTTCACTCATATGTGGAATTTAAGAAACAAAATAAAGAAAGAGAAAAGGAGACAAATAAAAGAAACAGACTCTTAAATACAGAGAACAAACTGGTGGTTGCCAGAGGGGAGGTGGGAGGGGGGATGGGGGAAACAGGTGAAGGGGATTGCGAGCACACTTATGATGAGCGCTCAGTAATGTATAGAATTCTTGAATCTGGGG